AAAATTTTGCAATCATCCGTGATTGCATCAGATTTCATCATGCCCGTACACTATTGTCTTGACTGTCGATTAGTTGTCCTACGGCCATTGTCTGCGATGGACGTTACTCCAAGGAAGCGTACGAAAATTGTAACGCTGCAAATCAAAGTACTATCGACTGTCTCGAAAACTCTGCTGATTTAGATCCAATCGAGAATCCGTGGTCAATCTGCAAGGAAGGACTTTGTGGAATGGACATACGAAGTACTAACATGGGCACGGGGTCATGTTTCATTGAAAAAATACGAAAAAAATGTAAATGATAATGGAATTATTCGTTTTCTTTCAATTAATTTGCACAAGAGTGTAGGATTTTTTTTTATCATTTTAATGGATATTTTATCATTTTAATGGATATATTCAGCGAGACTTTTCATGTACGGTTGTTTTTTCCTTAAAGTTTCTTTGATAGTATATATTTTTATTAGTATCCCCATCTTCGGGATTTTATTAGTATTCTCATCTTCGTGGTTTTATTAGTATCCTCATCATCGTGGTTTTATTAGTATTCTCATTTTCGTCGTTTTATTAGTATTATGTTTGTTTTTCTTTAATTAAATCATATCTTTCAAGTGAAATATTATTATATAATGATTTTTCAGCGACTTATTTTTTATATAGTATATGATTCACGCCAGAAAATACCAGATGCATTAATCGATGTTAATATTAAACAGTAACCTTTGTTCTAAGAGGAGTTGACCTGTTGTGACCCTAATGTGTACTGGGGTTCACCGTAAAAGAAAGAAAAACAAGCTTTGCACTCTGTGCCAAAGTAGTTAGGTGCGTTAGAGAGTTGAACTCGAAGGTGTATCCAAAGCCAACAAAGGCATTATCGAGTTTAAAGGATCTCAATTGATTCTCTGAAATACGAACAGGAAGCCAACCCAGCTGAACTTAGGATATTCACATTGAAGACAACTGGATGACAGGAAGTTATATAAACGCCCGACCCACAAGGTGTGATGGAAAAGGTAGGGTCCCTCGTCATTGCGAGTAGATTCAAACTTTCGTTCGAAGACGCTGTAAAAAACACCTTCATGGCCGATATTAATTTGACGAAGTCCAGAAGTGAATAATTTTATATATCAAAGATTTAGCCTCGTCTTCATCTTATCAAACGTAAGTAAGATAACCTCCGTTTTTGATCATGTTTCATCAGTCATTCGTCCGTCGAGCCTTCCTTACTTCGGGTCTTATCTGGTAATCCTCAAGAAAATGCGTATTTTGTTTGTATGATTTTATTATTATTTATTATTTCCTTTGATTTCTGGCGTTTACACATTTCTTTTCGGGTCCCGCCCAGGGACCTAAGGTTAGAAATGGCATCATGACACTTTCCATTGACAGAAAAAAATTACATAGATAATGCCTTCGTAAAGTGTGGGCTATACTTGTGAGAAAAATTTTTTGTATCTCTTTGAGGCATGGGATTCCAGGAATCCCTTCAATTAGTATACTGCAATCTTTTCCAACCAACCCTAGGGTCCCAAATACAACAGGGATTTTTGATGCTCTCATATGCCACATTTTTGAGATTTCTATTTCAAGGTCTTGTATTTTGACAGCTTTTTGAATATCTTCAAAGATACATTGCAGTCAGCAGGGACTGCCATATCAATAAGGAGGTACATTTTTGTTTGTGGTCTTTAATAACAATATCTGGGCAGTTGGCTTTGATTGTTCTGTCAGTGTGTATTGTGTAGTCCCATAGAATTGTAACAGGTCTTATCTCCGTAACCGGGTCTGGGTAGTGTTCATACCAGTTTCTTTCAGTTTCCTTCCCGTAGAAGTTGCAAATTTTCCAGTGCAGATATTGGCCCACTCATACACTTATTATTATTATTATTATTTACTTTGATTTCTGGTGTATTCCGGGTCCCAATTCAAGATCTAAGCTTATAAATGACACTATGGCATTTTTCATCGAATATTTTTTGTAAAAATATAGACAAAAATAAAACAACCTAAGATCATACACATAGATAAAGCCTTTCGTTAGATGGAAGCTGTACCTATAAGAACTATTATCTTTGTGCTTCTTTAACGCATAGGCTACCAAGGATCTATTCATTGAGTCTATCAACACCTTCTCCAAATCAAGTACTACAACTACCACTGGAATCACTGATGTCCTCATTTGCCACATTTTTTAGATTTCCACTTAAAGATCCTTTTATTTTAATATTAGTCAATGATATGTCCCGGAAAGGGATATATTTGTTCGAAGTAGCAAAGTGGCTGTTGACTACTGTAATCGAGTAGGACAATCTAGCAGGTAACCGTAATGAACTGGTCCTCGTCGTAGTGGTAGGCAATAGACGTAGGCAATAGGCGTCGTCCATGTACCTCCACATCAGTCTGTATTTATGGCTGACACCAGCCAATCATATTACTGTAAGGGGGAACCCAGGTGTATGCATATTCATTACATCAGTTAAAAATTTAAAAAATGCATTGCAGTTTGCAGGAACTGTTATCTTAACTGTTCTTCCCACGAGGCTTCGTTAGAACATGTCGTATTTTCTTGTATGTATGCATGTATCTACTATTATTATTCCTCTTAATATACACAATTCTTAGAAGAAAATACAGATCATAGTGACCATTCGCTTTTGTTTACATAAAGAAAGATTAATTTTAACTAAGTTAAAAATGTATATAATCATTATATTTCTATTCTACATCTCTACGTAGCAATCAAATTCCACAGAAGTAAATAAACCGGAATCAAGACATTGTGAAAGATGTGAACGCATAATTTCAGATTTACAATGTTTCTTTGTAGCCGCCAGCAAGGGTTTAGTATTTCGTCCATGCGTGCATAACAGGGGAAGAACGCTGAATGCCACTAATAGAAAAATGGTTGGTGTATCAAGATTTGTGTATCCAAGAGAAATTCAACTTGAATACGTAGTTCTGTATTGTGCCGAGCACTTAGTTCTTGCATTTCTATTTTTTTAGTTTCACGAGTCCCCTAACATTAAATGCCCTGATGATATAATCTTTATATGCAAGTGGAGGCATTGACAAAGTTGACGAATTCGTAAATGTTGACAACAGAAGTCATTACCTTCTCTCCCTCCACACACCAATTTCAATTAAATGAAATCAACTGCGTTTTTTGCGTCTAGACACGTCAAAATTTTAAAGTTTATCGTCTCTACATCTTCAGCATTTGCTTACAACGTTTTCTTTTATACCCCCTCCCTCCCGCTACTTATATATAATTATATCAATAAGAGAATTACTTTAATCTGATGAAGTCCTTCGGAATGTTGAAACTGCTTAAACAGTTTTTTTTTTTCCATTTTTATTACAAATAACCAGATATTTTCATGTGAGTTGCTTTAATGAGTTCTCCTGAGTAGCTGGACCACATGAATGTAAGCGTA